TGGATCCCCTTGCCTTGCGTAACCACAGCGTCACGTAATAACGGCGGAACCGCAGTCGTTCGGCTGTGTTCAGTCGCTATCGCGGTTTCGTTACTTCAGAAGTTAACGCGGCGGCTCCTTTGTTTCGATCCTCCCGGCTCCTGTGAGATCTGTGAGCGGGGGGTGCGCTGCGCGGGCCGCAGCGGCTCGGTTGTAACGGCAGCGCCTTCGGACGGGCGTCGCACTCGGAGCGGTTCCCTCCTCACCGCTCCCTTCCTGTTCGTCTTTGCGGAGCGCTTTCGTTAAGACCAAAGCTGTTCGTCAGGGGATGGCTGTTCAGTGTGCGCTTTTCCCTTCCGACCGTAACTTTTACCGTCTCACTTCCCTGCAGGTGGATCGGAATTCTTGTGCTTTACACAGTTCACAAGGGGCAGTTCAACTGTCCTGGGGGAGGATTACTGCACACCTACCTGCTTGTCCTCCTTATTCTCCTGGCTTCTATAATATGTGTGTTATCTGCTCTTGTATACATCAGTATGCAAGGTAAATAGTTGATAATATTTTTTCATATTTATTTAGTAGATTTGTAATAGATACGGTTTTTAATCTGGAGTTGACATTGAAAATGCAAAAAAAATCACTTTAATAGCAGTCAAACTTGAGAAATTCAACATTACTGCACTTGCTTTAATAGTATTATCTCTGTTAGTCAGAAATATAAAATAATATATGAACACAGTAGCTTCGTGCAGCTGATGGTGATATGTTCATTGCCGTCAGAGCATCTTGAAAGCTTCCTCTGCGTTCACCATTAATACATGACTGCTCAGCCTCTCTGACAGGAATTTAGGGGGTTTTGTCCAAAATCAGTTTCTGATCTGAAGTATCATGTTAGCTTTGCCTTGCATAGGCGGATTTTGTCATATCTTGCAAAAGTTTCATGAGCTGCAGTGGGTTGCTTCGGAAAAAAACCCATGTAGGAACATGATCCATATAAACATCATATTAGAACTAAGGCGATATTTACTGTCAGATAGAACAGGACTCGCTGCTTGAAGTGAATGGCTAAACAGAAATAAGGACCCCAATGCAACTTGGGTTAATTTGTAGAAATGGTTCATTTGGGGTTAAAAATTGCTAGGAAAGCTTTTTTCCTGGTGAGGCACCCCATTATCAAAGTAATGCTAAGAAGATTAATTTTAAATATGTGTGTGGTCTCTGGAGTAATAGGTGAGACCCTACAATTTCTAACATACTGAGTCTCACGACACACTGTAAATAAGAGAGTATTTATATTATTTAAGTGGAAGGAATGGGAGATGTGGATGATAATCCTGACCTTGAATCTAACCACTGGTTTCCTGCAGTTTCCAGAGAAGGAAAAGGAAGATTAATCAATTATGCTATTTATGTCAAAGTTGAGGAGGTGAGGGTTGTAGCTGTAAGTATCGGGGAGAAAAGAGCCTTATTTGGTATAAAAGTACAGCTACAAGGCCATTGTAACTAAGAAGTGGAAGAAGTCTGAGACTGAATTTCCAAGAAAATGAATGGTGAGATGTCTTGGGCTGTGGTTATGATGCGTGGGGTTGGGAGCAATGGTTGCATTGTACTGACATGGGCATTGGTGATGCCGGTAGTGAACGTGGCTGGAGAATTTTCACGCTGGGTTGTGCTGGGAGAGGAAGGAAGTTGTTTATGGGAACCACAGTTCCATCTGATTGTCTCTGTGAAGCCACTGTGCTGCTGCAGTACAGTCTACAACCTGGGCATGGGAGTAAGCGACCACTTATTAAGGGCTTTTTAAGCAGCTTTGTCACTGGGTGTGAACCACAGCTTTACAACTGTAAAATAGCCTCCAAAGTTGTTTTTGTTCTGCTGTGTTTTAAGCTTTTACAAGTTATCGTGCCTGCACACAAGCACATGCACCCCCACCACCTCATTACCCTGTGATCAACAAACTGGTGTAAGAAGCTGAGCTGGCCAAAAACTACTCCCTTTCTTATTGCCTAAGAGAGCTAAAAGAAAGAAGTTATTAGTAAGCTAACAGTACAGAAAATAGTATAAGAAATATTTGTCCTAGTAATGGTTCTGCTTCTGTTCACCTAAATAAAGATGTGAGTGAATGTATTATTTAGTCATTTAGTGAACAGAACTTCATTGTAGCCCAGCAAAGTAACATCTGAAAATGAAATGTTCAGCCAGCTAAAAGCTAAATAGAATAATAATAAAAGCAGGCACCAAAAGTTATAAGGAATTGTAGGTGAGCTGACACTCCAGTGTGCTGCTTTGGCTTTTGCTGGGCACAGCACTGCTGCCTCAAGTTCACTGCGGAACTGTCTCAGACTAGAGAGTGATTTTGGGTGTTAGTACCAACATTGTTTTTCTTTTCTCAGCTTCAGTGATAGCTTTCCAATAGTATGAAAATACTTTACAGTTTCAATTATGTTTCTTACTTTTTGTAAAATGTAGAAAGTTCATGTGACCAAGTAGGATTTTATGAACTTAAGATGTGTTCATAATAAACAACTCTTGTTTAAAATTTTTTCCTGTTTCAGGAACAATTTCTAATCCAGGCCCAAGAAAATCACTTCCCAAGCTACTTTATACTCGCTTGCTTCTCTATTTGCCTGAATTCATCTGGGCTGTTGTAGGAGCTGTGTGGGTGTCGGACAGCAGTGTGCACTGTGAGAAGACTGTGATAAATGTCGTAATTGGGACAGTTATTGCGAGGTAAAGGTGCCTACCCCCAAAATCTAAGCTTGATACTGTACTTGAAATGGAAAATGCTGCTTACATGTTTTTCATATGTGTTTATTAAAGGTTTTTCCAGCAGCTGGGGATGTTGATATTTCTTAGAAATTACTGTGGTTTCTCATAGAAGGGTTTTCATTGTGTGAAGAATTTTTAAATCTAGACAGCTAGAATGATTTGGTATCCTTCCCTGAACAAGCTTGAGCTATGTGCCTTGAGAGAGCACATGCTAGAGTGAAGGAAAGGAGGTGAAGATCAGAAAGGGTAAGAGGGATAGGCGGGAATGTAGAAAACTCAATAAATGTGAAGAAGGTAGTAACTAGATCACTTAACTGGTAGTGAAAAATGGAGCCTTCACACATTTGGGTTGCTTTTCCAAAGCAGAGGGCTGTGATTTTGAGTTTGATGCCCTGTGTGAAATGAGCTGACAGCCTTGTTCCTGTGCCTGGTGGATGGAAAGCCCGGAAACAAAACATGTACCGTTAAGACAGTAACAGATGGTGTTCGTGCAGTATTTCATACCTACCTTCGTTTTCTGTCTGTCGAGATCTGTAGTTGCATTTTCTTTCATACTTGTCAGAAGTGTCTGATTTCATGGTCTTTTTATCCCATTTCCTTCTGTTTTGCAGCTGGGTTATCATCATCTTTACCATCATTGGAGTTTTAATCGTCTTTGATCCACTTGGAGGGAAAAAGACATTTTACCTCACCGATAGTGTAAATTGGAACCTGGAAAGCAGTCAGTCAGGGCAGTTGCTGTATAACGTGAAGAACACGGCCACCAGAGTCTGGGAAAAAAGAATCAGGTTACTGTGTTGTTGTATTGTGCAAGATGATGACCATCGAGTGGCTTTTACAAGTATCGCAGAGCTTTTCCGCAACTACTTTTCAGTAAGATGAAAAGTCTTATTTATGTTTTGTTTCCTGACACTGTAACACACATACGCCTTTGTTCAGACAGAGGCTCCTGCTACCCTGTGCCTTGAAATCGGCTTTTGAATATGCCAATTTCAAAATTAAAGGTGATTCTCATACAGGGTCATACTCTCCAACACTGACTTTTCCCTCCCTTTAACAAAGGTTTCTCTCCCTTCGCAAGAGTGAAGGGCTGTGAGAAAACAGTATTCTTTCTCCTTAGATGAGTGTCTAGTTGGGAAAACAAGGGTGAGTTTCTTTTCCTCAATATGTGAAGATCCAGATGTTTCTCCTGCTGATGATGAGTGAGGAGCCATACCCATAGCAAAGAATCTGACTACTTTCTGACTATTGAAAAAGAGAGCCCTGCACCATGTTGAGGCAGTGTTCCCATTCTGTGCCACTTTTGAGCACGTACCAGACTGGAGTGGGCACAAGCAGGAAGTTGCTTTTTGGAAACGGGAAGCGTCTGCCAAATTGGAGTCTGCATAGTATTGATTTAGTTCAAATTTATGTCACCTACTGCTTGAGCAGTCGTAGTTCTTCACTGGCTTTGGAATCTGTTCATGATTTCAAGTCCAGTAGTTCTTGTTTATTAAGTGGTACTTGGGCATGCTGATTTATAGCTGCAGCCTACTCGGTGGTTTGTAGGGTGAAGGATGTAAGTCATATGGAGAGATGACTGCCCCACGTAGTTGGATAAAAACCCTTCAGCCTTCTCCTGTGTAAAATCCTCCTTAGCTGTACTCAGTATAGAGGGCTTTTCACATCGTGGTGTAGAACAGTGAGCAATAATGTCTGGATCATTTTTTGCTATATGGCTGAGCCTGTCCTCTACTGGGTATTTTGTTAAGTGATGAAATTTGTGTGTAGAATTGTCATCGGTCTTACTGAAGAAAACATTCAATATGTACGAAAGGGGTGGGAGGTTAGATGCTGCTGTGACCTGTTTATCCAGTGCACTGAGTGAAATGCGTTTAGTTTAACTGAAATTACATAATTCTCTGTATTTTCTTACGAGATAAGTTTACCATGTTGAGGTGTGGGATGGTTTTACACGCTCTTTTCATTTCTTTGTACAGGACACTGATCTGGTGCCAAGTGACATAGCAGCTGGTTTGACTCTGCTCCATCAAGAACAAGATAAAATGGAAAGTTGCCCAAAAGAGCCTGAAGAAGTCCTGTGTCATTCTCCATCATCTCTTGTGGTAAGATGAGGTTGTTGCAGCCTCTGGTGCAGTTACTCTAAGAGAGCGTGCCAGATCAAATTGAAATGCAGTTTTTTTGTGCAAGGTTGTTTTGTGTTTTGTTGTGGTTTGTTTTTTTTTTAACTAAATTAAACACTGTTATAAAAATTCACAGCAATTTAAATTATTAATAAATGCAGTGAAGACATTTTCATGAGGTTGCAGTAAAAGCATTTGTCTACTTTTGCACAAGTAGAACTTATATATGAATGGAGAATTAAGTGCAAAAATGAACCATTTAGGACATTTGATCATTGTTGAGCTGGGAGAGAAAGAGAGCAGAGAGAGAATTGAAGAGCTAGTCTTTTAGTAATGTGTTCTGTTTATGTCTGCTGCAAATATCTAGATAGATGAGTAACAAGCAAAATAGCATCTTTTGAATGCTTGCAGGTGATGGATTACAGTTCGTTAAGTCTTCTAGTCTTCTGTTGTAAAATGCCTTT